ACATCTCAAAAGCATATTTGTATATTAAATTCTATAAAAATGTAAACTCATACCTACAACTACTATCGCAGTATCTTCAATATTGCTTGTTTCCACATCCTCTTGCTTTTTTTTTGTTGCTGCGGCTTTTCCTATAAACCGTTTTCGAGGTTTTGAAGTATTAGTGGTCTCTGACATTATCAATTAATTGATTACGTAGAATCTGGAAATTTTAAAAAAAATTTTTTGATTGACCAATCAAAATGAAAGATTTGATGTGACTATAAATAATGTTAGAAAAATTACTTCTCTCTCTTTCTCATTCACCGGTCTTTTATTTTGGTTTTCTTTTATATATTTTTTTTTGGTTTTATTTGTTTAGGTGGATCGAATTTGAACACCGAGGTATCACCACTTTTTTTTCTTTGCCCTTTGTTTTGTGTTTGTATTTCATAGAAAAGATGATACTGATATGTGTGTAACACTGGCCAATGATTGAAGAATTCATAGTTTTAAAAAGTTAGAGGCTCGGAGGGAGGTGAACAGCCACTAGGCAATGTCGCATCTGGGTTTTAAACCAAGCGAGTCACTTGTTGCGATTAAAGAAGGATTAACTATAATTAAAATTCTTATAATTTTTACTTAATTATTATCTTAATAAAACAGTAGCAGGGCATGCCAAAAAAAAAAATAATAATAATAAAAATAAAAACTCAATTTTTATTCTTGAAATAGTTTCTGTTCTTTCTATTGCAAAGACTTTATATAGTCTAAATATTTAAATAAAAAAAACAAAATTGCTAAATTAAAAAAAAAAACAATTTGAAAAAGTTTATTAGTAACAACTTTTAATTTATAGTAAATTTTTAAATACTATATAGATTATATAAAAAATAATTTCATGTATAAACACATATAATTTTAGAAATTTTCATATTTATTAATCACTAAAAATTACTAAAATAAAAATAATTTGAAAAGAAAAACAAGTTAACTTGTATTTGCTAATGTAAAATGAATTCTTTCATTATAAAATTATGCTTAGAATATATATATTTTATATATCCTAAGCATGGTTTTGCTACAAAAGAACCCAAATAATTTATCATTTGGGATATGTTTGGAGGTAAAGTAATAAATCAACATAAAATTTAAATATCTACTTACTCTATAGATTATTATTATTTTTTTTAATATTAATGGTGAACTCTATAGATTATTTAGTAATCTAGTAATTAGAAATAAATAGTTTTTTTTATATAATTCAAATCATTTTGTTGAAAAAATTGAATAGTATAAAAATCATTAAACTTTATTTAATAAATTCTATATTAACATCGATATTGTTATCTGCCACTTTACCCATCCTGCCATATTGCACTCTTTTATTTTACAGTATAAAAATCAAAATTTTTATTAAATAAGCAAATTAAATAAAATTATTCAAAAAATTAAAAATATTTATTTATTTTTTTATGTTTTATAAAAGATTGAAAACCAGGTTTTAAATTTTGGTTTTGAGCCAAACCAGGCTTAACTTATATTTTAAATTTATAATATAAAACTTGCATATTAGCTAATTTTTAAAATTTTAATCTATTGGTCTATTTTAAATGGGTTTATTACCAGAATGATCTCCTCAATAAAGTGATTCTAACAAGCCCAAAATCATCAAAATCCAATCACAGAATCTTAAAATTACTATAAAACAAATAAAATTTTATCTAATAAAGTTAATTATTTAACCAATAAAATTGCCTAAACTGAATATTTGTGTAACCAATTTCATTGGTTTTTTTATGAAATTTGTTACACAAACATTAGTTTCAGGCAATTTTATTGGTTAAATAATTAATTTTATCAGGTAAAATTTTATTTGATCTATAGTAATTTTAAGATCCCGTGATTGGATTTTGATGATTTTGGGCTTGTTAGAATCACCTCGTTGAGGAGATCATTTTGGTAATAAACCCATTTAAAATAGACCAATAGATTAAAAGTATTGCTAAATCCAAAAATCAGCCGATATGCGGTTTCCAGGCTTTTAATCTAGAACCTAAAGGCTTTAGAATCTAAACCAAACCAAACTAACTTTATTATCCCTACTTGTCTTTCTTGGAAGTAGAGGCTTTAGTCTTTTTAGTACCGCGGAATTTTTTGGCACGGTTCTTTCTTTCCTTACGTTGTTTTCGAGCGGTTTTCTCTGGTTCAGCAAGTTT